CTGCCCGCCGTGCTGCGGCGCGCTGAGCAGCGCCTGTCCCCCGGCTGCCTGCACTTAGCGGGGGTGACCGCAAAACCCCTGTGGTTTACGTTCGTGGTGTGGAACACCTGGCGAGGAGGTAGAAGAGAGAAATCAACGTGGAAAATAATAAAATTTACCTAGAAAACGCATCGGTTGATTACTTTTCTCAGTTTGTTGGGGTGCTGGTGTGAAACTTGGCACCTGAGGGACGTAGCTAATAAGCGCATGCTTTCAGAAACGCTGCTTAAATTGCACATCGTGTGCGTATGGGTTTTATTCCTGTTGCTGCTGATGGTGTTAGGGCTGTTTGGGAAAGGGAGAAAGAAGTTTGATCAGCCTTTTCTCCTCATGCTCCTACTTGCTGGCTCCAGGTTCTGATCCTGTGATACACTGACATCATATGTGACAGCTCTGTCAGCGTTGATGTAGGGCATCACTGGCTAAAGCAGAAGGGAGGATACTTAAAAAAAATATTAGTACTGCTTTTGTTAAATTCAATACGGAATTGCTTCTGTTCACGTCTGTGTTATTGTGGCTGCAAGAGCTAGCTTTTCAGTTCATTTAAAAAATCTAAATCAGTCTGGCTGTTTTGTTCTTGATGCACACTTTAAATGTTATGCTGCCCTACTGTGTGATTTATTTAAGAAGGAAGTAGTAGTTAAGTAAAAAATGATACTGATTCCTTTCTGTTGGGGCTTGGAAACAAACCTATGTTGTGTTTCTTAACACGCCATGTTATTAGAATCCCCGCTTCCATTGACTCGAGGGCAATATTTTTTTTTTTTTTTAAAGGGAGACCTTTTTCTGCCAACATCCTATTTTGCACTTTCTATCCACTTTTCAGTTTCCTTGTAGCTGCACGCAGCAGTGCAAGGTCTCACAGCTCTGAAGCAGGGCGTGGGATGAGGGGAAACATTCCAGATTCATGTTATGGCCACTGCATTTGGGTTGTTGAGGACTGTGCTAAATGCTATTAATAAGACTCCAGTTCTCTGAAATATTTTATATCCTAATTTTATAAGAAATGTGTCAAAATAGCATCTCTGAAAGTGATCAGAGGAGGGTATTTCTCAGTTTTGTATTACTGGTAGCAGTTTGCGAGTAGTAATTTCTGCCTTTTGCTTCTGTTTCAATACCTATTATTCACTGCTTGGCCATGCAAATGCAGAGAAAAGAAATGAACAGTTTTTAAAATGTGACCTTGAAATTATAAGGTTGGGTAGGAAATTTGAAGAAAGACATAATTCCTCAAAATGCGCTTTATCTTCTTCAAAAAAATCTAAATGTCTTTAATCTCCCACTAGTGGCTCTGTATCACAAGATAAAAAACAATTCTAAACAAAAAACCCAAAAGATATTCCTTCTTACCTTTTTAAGGACTATTAATTGGGTGAGTTGCTGAGAATTGCTATAAATTGCTATAAATACACGTTTTCAATCTAGTAAAATAAACCAAGGAACCGTTGGTATGCCAAGAAACACTGAAGATTAAGATGGATTGGGCTGAGTGAAAGGTTGGCTCCAAATTTAGAATATAGGTCCCTCAGTTTAGTAGATTGCAGATGGATTAGGTTGGATGTAATGATTCTTTGGGAAGAAGTAGTTTATCTGGGGTTGGTGGTAAGGTATTTTAAAGGATGGCAAATATAACTCTAGAGGTAAACAGATTTGAATTCTGAGCAGATGTTAATTATTCAAATGGATGAATGTGTTGGGTTTTGTTTCTTTGGGTTGTTTTTTCCACTTCTAGTCCAAGAAAAAAGGCCTGAGCTTTGAGGAGAAGAGAGTTCGCATGATGGAGATCTTTTTTGAAACAGTAAGTTGTAATTGTCTTGCATCTACATTGGTGGGAAAACGAGTCCTAAAAGGAGCTTAACTGTAGATGAACTCGGTATGTCCTGCTACACAAGTCTGATGCCCCATGTCATCAATGTATAAATTACAGGGACAAAGCTTGGTTCATGTAGCTTCTGATCAGGTGGCTCATCCCCAGGTGGAGCCAAGGTCCAAAGATGCACAGGTGATATTAAATGCTTCATGTGCTCCCTATTGAAATCTTCTCATTTTGAGTCTGTTTCCCTAAGAGGGATAGCAAGAGATTAGGAAGTATCTCACTGCAGTTTATGGGAGGAGGAAGAAGTCTGTGTGTTAGAAAAAATGAGAGCAGACATGGAAGAGGTCACTGGGAAGAAGAAACCTGGAGGTCCAAATGCAGAGCTACAGTTATATTGGTGAAATACTGTTGGAAATGTGGGAAAAACAAAACAATGAAAAAACGTAATCCACAATGTTTCACCTATTAAAAAAATTATTGTGATATTTGAGTACTTGAGCAATGGTGGTGCATCTGGTGCTGACAATCTAACCTGGGCTTTGTCTGCCCTTAAGAGTTTACAGTCTAACTTGAGACAAAATATGTGGACTTTAGAGCACCAAAAAAAAGAACAGGGCTTGTTACAATAATAGTCCTTTTAAAATTTTATTTATTTCTCAGAATGTTCTAATTCTGTTGAGGGATATGCAGCTTGTTTCCCTAGCAAGACATAAACATGCAGTGTATTTCCTCCTTGCTTTTGTTGGCATTGTTTTAGTGTAAAAACAATTCAGGCTTAGATGATGCTGTCATTTGGAGCTAAAGTGTGGTTTATGTTTTCCACAGAAAGATGTGTTCCAGTTGAAGGATCTAGAGAAGATTGCTCCTAAAGAAAAAGGGATTAGTAAGTGTTTACAAAAGTTATTTCTCTTGAGCCATTAATCATTTTTTTGGGACAGGTCATACATGTCAATTTTCCTGGTTACAATTTTACGTTTGTGATTGTAATAACGACAAAACTAGCTGGTCCATGGTAGGGTTGTAGCGTTAAAAGTGACATCAACAGCATATTCCTACTTCAATTTGCTAATGTTTGTCAATTACGTTAGAAGTTAGGGCCAAAATGGGAGATAAGTTAACCACTAAAACAACAGATGGGGTTTTTCTCAGGTTCTGAGATGCCTGACTTGCAGTGACTTTAACTGTATGAAATCTTTATGTGTACTCAGGTAGTGAACAGAGGATTTAAATGTCTGTCTGTAATGTCTCAGATATCTTAAAATGCTAGTCCAGATGTACACAGTCAATGTTCTGTTGAGCTTTGACCACCCCAAAATGGCTGGACAGCTGTAAATGAAAGGGGTTTGTCTTTTTGATGAAAGCCTTCCTGATGAGATCCACTGGTTTAGGATTAGCTCCCGGAGGATTTATTTTACACTGTTGTTGTTTTAGGTGTTCTTCATTCTGCTTCCTTCTATGTTCATTGACAAAAGCTGGGCAAAGCGTAGTGTTTGGTTAGTTGCCACTGTCCTTGACTAGCTTATCTGTAGTGCCACAAGAGTAAATTAATCTGTTGAAAGAGCTGCAGACATGTGAATATCGCAAAGCAGCATTTTTCAGTTATGCCAGCAGCTAACAGAGGCACTCGTAGGCTTCTGCAGAGATGTGCTATCTTGATTTGTTTGTCAATGCATGTGTTTAATTGTAATTTGCAGGAAGAGGATGCAAAACAATAAATACAAGCAATGGAATTTCATATTTAAAAATCTGGAGTGTAGAGTTCCTAAAACCATTAACACCTTTGAATAGTCCAAATTCATCCGCTTCTGCGTATGAAGGCATTTAGCCACACAACCCAAGCCCTGGTTACTCTGAAAAATGTCTAGCCTGTGGAAGCGCCCCCATACTGGCATCCAGCCCATAGCTTCCAAAAGATTGGATGTTCCTGTTCTGGCATACCCTTTAGAGTTGAAATTGAAATTCAGACACTGAAAACCATAAATTAGCTCCAAGATCTTTATATCTTCATCACTTGAGGATAATAATAACTACTTTGCTTTCTTGAACAGTTACCATATTTACAGTAGTGAATTATACCACACATTTGCTAGAAAATGACCAATTAGGTTCAGAAATGTTTTGGATCCTTCTGACTGTAGCTGACTTCATATTGTATATGAATAGAATTAAAATTAAAATCTGCCCCTCCTGAACCTGTAGACAGATGGCTTTAATGCCTCTGCTGCTCTTAAATACCTTGATAAGCATTACAAAGTGAAATGTAATTACACTCCTAATCAAGAAATGATAAATTAATCCATATTAGAATTAGGATTGCAAGACAACTTCTTGAGTACCCTCTCATGAGTCTCATGAGTTTGTTATGTATTGTACTGTAATATGCATGTATGTTTTATGATACTCATGAGCAGTGTTTTACAAACAATCTGGTAGCAGACTGTACAGAATAGCAACCTTTATGTATAAACTGCTGATTTCAAAGAGATTCATCCCTTCAAAGTGAAGAATCAGGCATAGTGTCATCTTGAAATCTTCCAGCTAGCTGACATTCTAGTAAAATATTCATACAAGATGATTGTAGTTGATGGGTTATGGTATTCGTAATTCTCCATACTTTAGATACTACACGGTTCTAATTTGATATTTTTGCTTTTATTAGCCTCAGTGTCAGTGAAAGAGATTCTGCAGAGCTTAGTTGATGATGGCATGGTGGACACTGATAGAATTGGAACTTCTAATTATTTCTGGGCTTTCCCAAGTAAAGCTCTTCATGCCAGGAAGCGTAAGTTGGAAGAACTGGAGTCTCAGGTAAGTCTCTTTTAAGGAGAGTACTTGTTTACCTGAATGGGTTTGCTTTTTTCTTTTACCCCTTTGTCATTCTTGTTCATATCATGTCCTCTCACGTGTGTGTGTGCGTGCGCGCACACAGATTTTACTATAGGAATCGTTTGGCACATATGGTATGACATTCTCATTATCTTGCTATCACATCAGAAAAGTTTGGGAGGTTTTTGTTGGAGCTTGAAAAAGCTTTTTGTCTACTTGCTGCTGAAAGCATTATGCAAAACATCATTTAAGGACTTTCTCTAAATATTTAGCCATCATATGCTTTTATGTGTCTTTTTTATTATGTAGGCCATCCTGTGGTAATGATCTAAAAGCCCTGAGAGGACTGAAATGCATAACCCGAGTAAATGTGGGAATGGGTTCTACTTATGGCCATTGTGCTTTCCTCTCTGCTTTTATCAGTAGCTTAATTTGTGAGCACTTGTGTAATCCCATGTTGCACTTTTATTAGGAGAGAAGAGCTGGTCCTGATCTTTTGCAGAAGAGCCAGGCACCTTTTGTTGCAACATTGCTGTTCTGTTGATGTGGTTCTTTCCTACTTTTTAGGGACTGTCTTTCTTCTTTTAATTGGAGTGGGAAAGCATCTGTTCACCAGTTTATTTGCAACTGGAGTACATGACAATAAGATCAATAAAGTAGCTTTATGATCTGGTTGAACCACAACACTGCCAACTTTTCCTGTGCATATTTAGCATTATGTTCGTTCATCAAAGAATCATTTGAATCGTTCATCAAAGAATCATTTGAATTAATACAAAATTATTGGTAGCATCTGAATGTTTTTACAGACAATATTTTCTTCATGCCTAGCTCTGGTATCATCATTGCCATCTTATGTACAGCATTGTCAACTTAAGCTCCTTCTTTAAAGCTCCAAATAAATTGTATAAAAATACGCTTTTTTTCCCCAGCTTGAATTGAAAAAGCAGTTTGTGAGTCTGAAGACTGTTCACCAAAGCAGATTAAATAGCTTTGTCAATGCAGTTGAAATTCTTGTTTATGCATAGAGCATAGTGTGTGACCAGCTGAGAGGTAACCTTGCTATGCTGTCATTGCTTGTCAATCAGTCATTATTAAACTGAAAAAGTCCAGTCCACTGTTCTGTTTTAACCAACATGAGTTCATTTCCCTTTGCCCTGAACATTTTCATTACTGGCCTGGGTGCTCTAGATGGCTATCCAAAGGCATGCTGTGTGTCTGGTTGGGTGGATGTGGTAGAGGGAGGAGAGTACTGGTACTCTGTCACATGCCCAGTCTGCTGCAGTTTTCATGATCAAGAGTAAGACCTGATAGAACTTTCACTTCCTTTCTCCTTATCTGCTAATTCATGTCATTTTTATGAGCCAATGATGCATTCAGGGCTCTGTGGCAGTAAGGAGGAAGTACTGCAGTCCTTCCCATCAGTAACTGGAACTGTATTTGACAATCTTTTAGGCAGGTACTTCGGATGAGTTGGAGAGTGCCGCTTCAGATAGCTCTTGTGGTACTGCATGGGTCATCAGAATGATCAACTTTTATTTCAGGTTCTGCCACTGACTTGCTCTATGTTTTGAGTAACTTTCTCAGCATCTCAGGCAACTGTTAGTATCGTGGATACAAGCTGTACCTTGTATGTACCAAGACTTGGTTATTATTAAGTTGTCCCACTCATAATTTTGTCATCATCTTTACTGTCTTTTGTTTTCACAACTCAAATTAGTCCAGACATTAAAAACTTCCTCAATTTATATGGATATGCTTGTACAATTTTCAGGCATGGACTTAGTCTGGCATGACTAGGCTTAAGTTCATTTTTATTGACTGGTAGTAACAATGCACTGATTTCTACTCCAGTGAAGTTCCATTTGTCTGAAACAGGTAAGTTTAACTCTGCACTGACTTGGAACTGAGTTTCCTGGTGAATTTACTCAAGTTATTAGTATATTCACCAGAGTTTTAGACTGGGCTACTTATTCTGCCAGAACATAAATGCCAACTGAGCAATTGGACAAATATATGCCAAAACTCCTGCTTTGTTCACCAGACACCCTGCTGCCACTGTCTTGCTGAATGCCAATGATTTGCTATTGGATACTTTATATTTTTGCTCATACTGCATTATCTAGCCAAGTAGTTGAATGAAGGAGTTGATATTTGTTGTCTTTGCCCTTGGGCCCAGTCCCATCATGAATTTTAAAGATAATTGATCAAGCAGGTCTCTGGTGTACGCTGATGAATATCTTCCTTGGAATGTCTTGCAGAATCTGCCTAATATGCTCCACCATAAATATCCAGGGGTCATCTACAAACATATGCTGTACTGCTTTAAATGGATGTTACATTATTAAACATAAACCCATCTATTATTATGGAATTATAGTAGGCATGCAGTTATTGTATTGCAATGTTATTTTATGGTTATTTCTGTGTAGGAAATAAACTGCTGATATAAACAGTTCTGCAATATAAAACTACTCCAGTTGAAAGAAATAGTTTTGTTACCAGATCCTTATTTGCAAACCAAGTCCTGCTCCTAACATATGGGCTTACTGATATAAAAGAGCTTTCTGTAGACCATGTTATGAGTCCTTAAAAATATTCATTGCATGGTTTTTCTGATGAGAATGGAAATGTTTCAGCATTTCAAGGAGAAACATTTTCACTAGCTGAAAACTTCGTTGACACAGTGGAAAGGTGGCATTTTCAATGAATAGTGCTCTGGACATTTTTACAAGATGATAACAGATTATGTCTCTGAGTTCAAGTTAGCTGTTTTAGTGTTTGTATTCTTCTTGATGTGAACACATATGGATTTTCTTAAGGGTTTCTAAATCTAGTCATCGAGTATCACAAAACTTCTTGTCAGAACATGCAAAGCAGAGGAAAAAAATTAAGCTATTGTACTGTTTCTGTTGCACGGTGCCTGTCTTTGATCATTCCTGTGTAGAGCTTGTGGCATGCTGAGAGACGTGTTTTCTTCCTGTCCCTTGTCCAGATCACTTGTTAACTACATGAGTATATGAGTTGATCTTTCTTCTACAGTTAAAAGCTGGAATGAAGCCGCCTTATTTAAAGCACAGGTTTAAAAATCTAGCAATTCAGTTCACACTGCAGTTAGGGCTTTTTACTGGGAGGCAATAGTTCTCTGCCCCTTACAGAGCTTGTGGGGAGACTGGTTTAGGAACTGTACTTGAAAGAATTTTTTTGTTTCAGATTTTTAATGATTATTGAGCCACACCCCAATTTTGAGACTCAGTAGCAAAGAACTCCAACTCTGTATTTGTAATGAAGAGCAAGCCAGTTCTGTCTGGATATGTACACAACAGTGATTGTGTACACCCTAGATTTTTTTCAGGATTTATTTATTACATCATCTGCGTGACTCCTTTGTGCAGAGATATGGCAACTGAAAACAATGCTTGAAAATAAAGTTTGACATAGCTTTCCTCCCTGCCCCCATTTTTTAGCTTGCTTTTGTGGAGGCAGGTGTTTGGTGAGGGGAGCTAATCTCTGAACTGACATATATGGCAAATCTTGTGCTGATCTGGTTACGATTAGGATCTTGGTGCTGCTCTCTAACCCAGGCTTACTGTGCAGACTTCATCCTGTTTTTCTGAAAAGCAAAGACAGTGAATATCTTTAGTTTGTGTACAATCTGCTGCAATTTTTTTCTCCAATAGCTCACAGAGTAAAAATCGCTAAGTAGGTCCCTCTGTATTTTGTATTGGTTTATTTTGCAGTGGCATGGCTGCTCTTAAAGGTTTATGCTTTCTGCCAGTTGCTTATTGTTCACCTCGTGCTTATGCAGCTGTGAATTGGACCACTGAAAAAGTAAAAGATGTTGGAAGTTATATTTTGGTCAGGTGGGTTTATAGTTGCATCAGTACAGCTATGAGACAGTGAAACTAAAGCAAGGGCATTGAGAAGTATTGTTTTAACAAAGTTCATAAATGGAGAAATTTTTGATGGAACTTCACCTTTGTCAAGATAACTGTGGAAGCTTTACTGAGAGCACTAGGGTGGGTTTTTTTCCTTCCATAAGAAAAGCTGAAAGAATGTGGTTTTATTCTTTATCAGTATTTTCCTGGCAGTCAGGTTCTGAAGTTTTGAATTACCTATGATCAATTATCATTTTGACAAAATGATATGTTTTTTCTTGGCATAACAATACTGGAAGCTTAGGGTTTTTATTAAACTAATGAAGAATTCGACCTATGCAGTGTAAGCAGAAAGATCATAATTTATGGATGATTCTGCTGCCCTTTGTTGATTTCATAGCATGCATAAAATGAGGAGACTGGAGTTGAGCTACCCCAACATGTTAATCACAGTCACATTCCATCTCTGGCAAGAGCTGCTAGTACTTTTCAAATAATTAGCCCCCTTGCATGTTTGGGTTTTGTGTTGTTCTGATGTATGTGTTGTTACAGAAGGGATGTGAATGTGAAGGATATGTTACCTGCTGAAGAAAAGGCAGTTATGCAACCAAAACCTTGACAACAGTTATTAGTTAGGAAATGGCGTATCAGTGAGTAAGGAAAAGAGAAACTTTTCTGGCATAACTTTAGTATAAACAGATTCAGCTTAGATTTTCTTTCACTTTTTCATCTGCTTTTTTGGTAAAGCACAACTGTGCTGTCTGTTTTAGATAAGGAGAATTAACGCTTGCTTGCATTTCACTTTATAGTGGCTTGAATTAAGTGTTAATTAAAGTAATGACTAACAGTGAGGCCTTTTTCACCCAAGGGCTGATGAGTCTGCAAACCACAACCCTCAGAAGTCATAAGGAGTGCCCCATCTCTCCAGCACATTGTCTGCCATAGCCAGCGTGACTGGGGGAATCTTGGCTGGTTTAATACTGACACTATAGGGCTTAAGGGAGGCAGAAGCAATTTCAGTATCCTTGGTGACATTGAAGAGTGTCTGGCATTCAGTATGACAGGAGTATATGCTTGAACCATAAGGTCATAGAGGATTGCCAC